AGTAGATGCTTCCGCCACTGTAGGGGGGTTTGCTTCACGACGCTTGTGTACAACGCGGAAGGTTTGTCTGGACCGCGACATACGACTAACCCAGGGAAGGGGCTGGATAGCGCTTTGGCCTCAAGCCATCAAATCTACTCTTCTCTCGGCTATTTCTGTCAGCGAATCCCCCAGCAACCCGTAGAGTGAACTGTAAGTTCCGACACTCGTGTTGATGTATGTACACGAAATTTGGACTGCCTGAAGTGAACAGAACTATAGGTTGTTTCGTGTGTGTGTTACCAGCTGTCCGCAGTCTCTCCTAGTAACAGTGGGGCAGTACCTTCAAACAGGCCACGACAGCTTTCCTTCACATCATTTACGTCACATTTTATTTGCGATATATAACGCTTATAGTTGAATCAGCATGGTTAAATAACCTAGGAATAATAACAAAACTTGGAAGTAGTATTTGAACTGTGTAATTCTGTATATGAAGGACACTGATGGTGGCTGTCTCCTGGAATGTTGTTTTGATCGCCTGATAACGGGGGCAGTAAGCACCTTTAAAATGACTGTCAATTACTTCGAGACTGCATGGTGCAACATCCCAGAAGTCAGTCACCTTTTTATTCGCCGCTATGAGAACCTCAAATATCAGTTATGAATGGGACTTCTCATGCCAGCAGAAACATTTATTAACCGATAATAAAGTCTAACATCATTCCGTTTTGCTATGAGTTTTGGGAAGACGACTACTGATGAAACTTCTGGGGAAGGAGAAGCATGCTGAGTTATCTCGGACTACGGCTGAAGTCAGTGACGTTTATTCCTCTACATTAAAGAACAACACACAAACAAAATGTATTTCTCTTTAAACTGGAAATGTAGTATGTATATAAATGGAGAGTCAGAAGGGAAAATAGAGAAGCAGTCGTGGCCTACTTTAAGGTATCCCTTGCATTTGCTTGATGTGACAAGAAAATATTAACTCATAACAATGTTTTTGATTTTGTTTCGAAGAGGGTATCGTAGTTCCGTGACAATACGATGATAACAGTCTTCTGAAATGCTGCTTCGTGATACAGAACTTAACGTACTTTGATACTACATGTAAATAATTAGACAAAAATATTAACACGTTTATTTCACACATTCAGACATATAAAAATATATCAGTCCACAATGGATATCACTTGGCAAACTACCTATTTACCTGCATATATCTAGTATACAAGTTAATATAGGGCAGAAATAGCCTAGTACATAATATTATTATTTTGGATTCTTATTGAATAAATAGTGTTTAAAACAATTAAATATGATGTCCAATTTCTACAGATGGTCCCTTTTATGTAGGATTTGAGGTTTTCATGGCAGTGAGTCTGAAGATGGCTGTCTTCCGGGTTGTGCCGTAGACTGCTTGGCGCAACGACCCAGAAGACAGCCATCTTCGGTCCCATTTAAGATTGACCAGGTTGTGGATTTGAACAATTGTCAACAGAAATAGAAATCATACTTGACTTAGTTATTCACAACTCAGAAAATCAACCTAGGCTGCTTCTACCCTCAGACATCGGTTCTTTTCTTAAATAATTATTTCCATAAATATATTAATTATAACACTTATATCCAAAGATAAATAATCTAAGACAAACAAACTACTGATCAAGACACCCCCTCCACCCTCCCTTAGGAATTATACAAAGTAAACACATGTGAAGAGACACTATAATTGCGTGAAAATATTACAAAATTGATTAAAACATGCACTCTCACTTTATATATATAAAATTTAATGGCTCATGACCCTCAGGTTGGAAATTTTTGTCCTCCTGCTATTATGATCCCTGTTCTCTCTGGACTGAAGGAAAGGAAGTAATTTTGTTCTTTCTTCACTTGAATCTGATCTGATTTCATTAAAATATTAAAAAATAATAAAATTAAATCTGATTAAATGAGTTCTGGGAAAATAAACATGTTACAACTGTCACATATCCTAAAACCCATAAACATCAATAGTTGAATTTTTGTTACTGTTACCAAAATACTTGAATTCTTTATTTATGGTCCTATTACAATATAATTACTGGCTCTGCTTTTGAGGTAGATTTCCTAATAATGTAACATCTAGCACGCAAGGTTCCATATTCTAACCACGGTAAATGATGCTTAAAGTGAAACACCAATTCTGTAAATGTTCTCATATCAACATCTACGGATACATAAATATCAAGATACATTAATAGTTGCCAACTGTCATTTAATTAATATATGAATACATAGTGATTCTTTGTGGTTATTACTGAGAACCAATGTGAAGTTTAGGATATGTATATGTTGTTATTAATTTTAATAGCTCTTCAAATTTTATTTGGATGAATAATAACTTTTTTTCTTCTTCACAATTTGCTACTTGGCAAGTCTTATATCTGAGGTCATATTATAGTTGGGTAAAATCAGTATACAGTATTCACATTTTTGGAAATGTAATTATTATCAGTATATAACATTAATAAGCTTTTAGAACTTTAAACCTACAAAGTAATACAAATGTACATGATGAATTGTAAAAACAAAATCAGTAATCAAAACATATTAATCAGTCTCGAATAAATGCATTGACAGACATTTAGAGAGGGAACCAAATGAGATACCATTAGTCTTTGTATCTCTATGTGCATTCTTACATCTGATATTCGTATACTAATACCAAGGGTTTTCCACATTTAACCCATCATTATTCTACATACAAGTACAGGAAGGCACACAAAGAGAGTGAGTAAAATGCATCAAACATCGTTACATCTCACTAGCAATATGCATATTACTAGTTTTCGATGTCGGAACAATTATATACATAATTATTTACATTCAGTGAATAGGAAACAGAAAAAAGTAACTAAAAAGAACTGCAGGAACCTTCACTTATTAAAATATCCAGAATGAACATCTTAGTTGAGCAAGACATTAAATAGCTTATATTCTCTTACACATCTTTCTTTTCTTTTTGCTCATTGTCTTCACGTATTTGCTGAACTGCTGAAACCGATTTAAGATCTCTTGTCATTGGTTTAACAACAACTGATATGTCTTTTGGCTTTATTACTGCTTCATTTAACAATTTCATTCCAACATCATAGATTTTCGGGTCTGACAGATGTGAAGGAGTTTTGATGATAGAACTTAAAGTACTTACATCTTCTTGGTCATTCTTAACTTTATCTTCAGAATTTTTTTGGGTCTTAATTTCATTAGAAATGCCCTCTAGTTTCTGGTTTCCAGAAATATTTGTATTTTTAGATGAGGCATTAGATATTGAAATGGGCAAATGTTCAAGTGGACCTTTGGATGCAGCTT